CAATTATTCACCTAACCCTGAGACAGATGGCCTCAAGAACACTTTGACCCTTCATCCCAGTAAAGCTCCAAGCCAAGATTTGTCTCATGATAAAGCTCTGCCAGGTCCTGAGTCACCAGCCTGGCTGCTCCTTGCGATCTTGTCTGCTACTGTTTGTCAGGGTCAGCCTTCCTGGAGACTTCTTAGTCATTTGGGCATGGCCAGCCCCTCTGGCTGGGACACTTTGGGGCTACACATCCTGGAACAGGGACTTCCAGCTTATCCCCACCTTTCCCTGTCAGCTCAGAGGCCTTTGAGGTCCAACCACTGGGGTATCATGCTAGAGTCCTTTGCTATGTTCCCACAGGATCAGTACTTGTCCTTGTTTGTCTGATTCTCAGTTGGCCTCCACCGGCCATGCACAAGGCTCCTGGAGGGATGGGGTCCAATTTCCAGCCTGAATGTTGTGCCTTCATATCCAGCACTGTTTCTGAGACTCAAGACTCCCAGCGAATACATACATGCTGGGAATGGGACATATGGGTGAATGTGGCAGAAGCATGTTAGCCACCAAACAGACCCTCGGTAGAGTCACAAGTGCTCAGGTGACAGACATTCACCACCTCGCCATGCTCACCCTGGCCCTGCCTCCTCTTGGGACTGAGTCACGAGACATTCTCTATGAAATTGCTTTACTCCAAGCCTCAGCCTCTCCCGTTCAATAGGTGCAGTTTTAATGGACTGGACTTGTTCATTCCAGATGTCAAAGAGATGGCTCAGTGGTCAAGAGGGCTTGTTGCTCTTGCAGAAGATGTGAGTTCCACTCCTGGCACCCATGTCATGTGGCTCACAAGCACCTGTAACTCAGATCCAGGGGATCCTACGCCCTCTTCTGGCCTTCTTTAGCAGGAGGGCACCTGCTATACGGTTCTTATCCATGCTGGGCCACACCCCCATCATTACCATCCACATCATTTCCTGCATCTTCTCTTTAAGTGGTAGTTTACTTCTGAAAGTAGAAAAATCTCAAGTTTGGAGGAATAAAGAGTAAGAAAAATATGGGTATTTAGTGTAAGATTTTTTAAAATAGTGATTACAGCAGGAAAAAGTTCATGGTGCTGTTCAATACGTTGTGGGAGGAAGAGGACAGGACGGCTCCACATTGACTGACAGTGGCATGAGGGACTCCGAAAAAGCAGGTTCATGTCTGAATTTGCCTATTATGATTCCTACCACCCCAAGTCAGCTTCATGTGTAATGTCATGTGCTGACAGACTTGAGAGCTAACCCTGAGTCCACATGCTTCAGCAAACTGTGTGAGTTTTTGTTCATTTTAAACTTAGAGTTTATCTATGTGTGTGTGAGGAGGGGGAGAGTGCCTCAGCACATCCATGGAGACCAGAAGACAGCTTTTATAAGTCAGTGGTCTTTCACTGTGTAAGTCTGGGGGGATCAAACTCAGGGCTTCAGGCTTGATGGCAAGCATTTTTGCCTACTAAGTCATCATTAGGGCTTTAAATATTTTGGGGAAGGAGGAACATGTTGTTGGCTGTTTTCTTACTCTTTTGGCTCTTTTGTTCTTTGGTGACCCACCAAAGAGCCAAAAGAATAAAAAAACACCAACAACATTTTGGCTTACAATATGAGGCTTGAATTTCCACGGTTCCTGAGGGGGGAATAAAAAAGAAGAGGATGTAGCTCATTTAACAGTTCTTGCCTCTTGGGAAGTCCTTGGGAAGTAGGAACAAAACAAACTAAATAAAAATACCTACCTGCCTTATCCAAGCATCAGCATTCTAGAGCTCTAGGAAGTTCCTGGTCAAGCAGTTCCTGGTCAATGCAGTTCCTGGTCAAGCCCCTCTGACAAGGGTTTCAAGCTTTAGGCTTGGCATTCATGACCTGAGAGCAGACAGAGCCAGGCAAGAGCACTGCAGAGGATCCAGGGGTAGTTTAACAGTTTAATGTTTGCTCATGCAGTCAAAAAATACTAGAGATATGCAGTAAGAGAGTCCAGATTGGAAAAAACCCTCTAAACAGGTTCCAGTGTGTTTTACAATGTGTGTAAGAAAGAAAGAATATGGGTATAGGCAGTCATAGAAGTATATAGTTTAAAAATAATAAAGTCTTTAAAGAGAGAGTAAAAGTATCATAAAAGAAAAGAGCCACACAAGATGGGAAACACACAGGGAGTGTGGGTCCTGTATAGTATTGTATTGATTTTGGTTTTTTTGCATACCGATAAGCAAACAACAGCAGCTAAGGGACATGAAATTGAAAGAGGGAACTGATGAAATAAAACAGCCTAGATAATTTAAGAATGCCTTAACTTTAAAATAGAAGTAAAAAAAATATATTTGTCAGATGGAAATCAAAAATGCTTTGGAGGAGAGGTTTAGCTTTTGTTCCCACAGGAGATGAGAGGCTGTGGATTTCTTCAAGAACAAGATGGGTCAGGCCTTATAATGGAAGTCCTCCTGAAACTTGACAGGTGATATCTATCAGCAAAGCTTACTCCTTGTCTTCCCAGGACTTGGCCATTATCTCAATTTTCTCAGGGACCCCAAAAGATACTTCACCCACACACAATAGGAAGCAGTTTGGAGAACATGATGCTCACATTCTCAAGAGGGGTGTGGGAGGCTTTTGGTCATTAGGTGTGTTATGGATGTTTGTTATCATTTAGGGGACCATAGTATATTGATACAAATTTAAAGTTATTTTTGTTACGCTGTAGATATGTTTCTACTCTTGTTTAAAGCATTATACCCATGCAGTTCATTTTAAAATGTAAGGCAAAATTCTAGTTTTTGAAAGCTATTATTATAAACTATTTAAGATGACCAAGAAACACAGCTTAGTAGTTAGTCATTTATAACAATCAAATTTATAAATATGTTAGGTACGTTTTCAAAATCATACAGAGACATATTTTAGATAGATAAATGGTTTTCAAACATTTCAAAGACCTATAGAATATGGCATTTTAAATGTTTTGTTAACTTAGGGCTTTTTATGACAATGAGACACTTCTGCTCCTGACAGCACCAATTTACTTTATAAAAAGATGATGGGCATCAAAGAAACTCCATAAAGTTTGCTTTCATCATCACAACAATAGCCATTTGGGCAAGAAACTGCTTTTGCTCTGATTACTTGACTGTGTGCTGTGAAGACTGGACAGGCAGGAACCACAGGAAAGTGACTGCTGAACTTTGCCACAAAAAGGTGGGACAGTCCTTCAAATTTCCTGCTTCATTGAGAATACTCTAGGCCTGTAGACTGAAGATTGGTGCCCCAATATTGCAGACGAACTTTGGGTGACTGCCCAGGCAGCTAAATTTCTCTGTTGTTAGGTAATATTAATTCCTTTTGGGTTTTTGATAGAGTTAAAGACCAAATAATTAAAGTTTCAGTTTTTCTTAGTTATAATAAAAAATCAGTTAGAAAAATTTGGACTCACTAAGATAATGTAGTATTTTCTCTGTGCTAAATACAAATGGACTGAATATTGTAAATGTAATTCTTACTTGAGAACTGTTTTTGTTGTTTGTAGTTTTACTATGATAAAGTTAAAACCTTTTCTTTTTTACTTAGACAAAAGGGAGAAATGTTGTAAAGTATTAGTTAAAGATATGTTAAATTTGTTTATGCTATAGAACATTTGTTTTAGTGATGCAAAGATGGGTTGCATTCTTTTATGTTGCATTTGTTTAACTATGAAGCTGTGTTACTTGGCTTACTAAACTTTGGTTACTAAAACACCTGATTGGTCTAATAAAGAGCTAAATGGCCAATAGCAAGACAGGAGAAAGGATAGGGAGTCCCGGGCTGACAGAGAGAATAAACAGAAGGAGAAAAAAGGGATTGGGAAGCAAGAAAGATAGGGGAGCGAGGAAAGAAGAGGCCACCCACCCAGCAACTCAGTCAGACATGGACTAAGAAGGAAAGGAAAGATATACAGAAATAGGGAAATTACTCTGCCCAGAGGCAAAAGATAGATGGGATAATTTAGGAAAAGCTGGTTAGAAATAAGTCAAACTAAGACCAGACATTTATAAGTAATAGTAAGATTCCCTGTGATTTATGTGGGGGCTGGATGGTGGGCCCCCAAAAGAGTAAATAAAACAACAGGGCAACTTAGGGGGCCTGGGTGTACCTTCTATCAGCCTGACTATTTAGGAGGCTGAGCCAGGAAGACAGAGCATTCAAAGTCATACTGGGTGGCAGAGAGCGTTCAAAGCCAGCCTGGATTACAGAGGATTCAAGGCCAGCCTAGGCAAAGCCGATAGAACCCTATCTCAAAATAAAAGGTAAAGAGAGGACTGGGGATGTTCTTCAGCGGTAGAACTTGCCTGGCTTGTATGAAGACCTAGGTTCCATCCACACTACAAAACAGTGCAAACTTCAACCACCTCTAATGTGAGTTAGGATGGTATAAATGCTACATTATATTAAATAATTCAAACTAAGCTGATGGAAGAAGGAATAAAAAAATAGAAAAGGAGCTGCTGAGTTTCTGAGGAGGTGACAGCCCTGGACTTCTTGCTGTCACTCTGAGTGGTTCTTTTTGGCTGCTGGATCCTGGCCAGCCTAGGAGATAACACCCCCAGGGCCTGCTCCCCTCCTTATGGGTTTTTTTTTTAAATGCAGACCGCTAGGGCAGTAGGAGCTGCTAGGAGCTGCTGCCACCGTCCAGGAAGGACCATGGCCGCAGCGCCTGGGGAGCGGCTGCGAGAGGAGGCTCGGTGCTCCGTGTGCCTGGACTTCCTGCAGGAACCCATTAGTGTGGATTGTGGTCACAGCTTCTGCCTGCGGTGCATCTCTGAGTTTTGCGAGAAGTCGGACAGCGCTCAGGGCGGCGTCTACGCCTGTCCCCAGTGCAGGGGTCCCTTCAGGCCCTCCAGCTTCAGGCCCAATAGGCAGCTGGCCAGTTTGGTGGACAGCGTGCGGCAGTTGGGGTTGGGTGTTGGACACCCGGGGACGCGCCAGTGCGCGAGGCATGGCGAGGACCTGAGCCGCTTCTGCGAGGAGGACCAGACGACGCTCTGCTGGATCTGTGACACTAGCCCTGAGCACCAGAGCCACCGCACTGAACCGCTGCAGGAGGCTGCCAGCCGCTACCAGGTGAGACTCTGCTCAGGTCCCCGTGTGGAAAATAGGAAGACACTGGGGCAGGCTAACGTGGGAATTGAAGGGATAAATTCTCCAAACAGATCCAAAAGATGCGATTTCGTCTCCTAAGTAACTCCCAGGCGCCTTCCTTCCCTGGTCTCCCCATCCATTCTACAAGCTGCATGGGGCTTTGTTTGGCCCCTGGGAACCTCTGTTAAACCCAGCCTCTGATCACAATGGGCTTCGTGCAGCCTCTAGCTCGCCCCCTGCTGAGAACACAGCTGCCTCCTCAACAAAGAGGGGCTCCCTAGTGCTTCCAGTCTCTATGTGTATCAATCCCCACCCCAAACCGCAGAAGGCTGCCCACTCATCTTCCTCCAAACTTGCCGGATACGTTTTAAATACATTGAAGTTTCCAACTTCCTGAACAACCCTTACTAGGGATACCAGTGTGGTCTTCCTTCCGTTGGCACCCTGAAGGAAGGAGTACTGGCGTTCTTAAGATGCTTGCTGGTTTCTTTTCTCTAAAATTAAAAATTGGGGTATTTTCCTCAACTTATGGGAAACGTCTCCCTTGATTTTACTGCTTGCCTCCTTTTGATTTTGTAAGAATTCAGGCATGGGGTATTTTTATAGTCCTGCCTGTGTAAGTCCTGAGAACAGCTTGGCTAGCCAGACATTTCTGATTCTGTTTTCTATAAATATTCTGTAGGGTTTTTCCTCTCCTTCAATCAAATGCCAAATAAACACCATCTAGGCCTTTTGGCCAATCAGCTATAGCTGTCCAAGGCCCCTGCTAAGTGTGCACAGCTCTTATCTAACCAAACACAGATCCAGCAGAATCCGCCCTGTCACTGTTTTCCCCAGGCCCGTCATGCTGTTTGTCACATGCTTGGTATGGCTAATGGTTTCTGGGCCTGACAGAGCAAAATGTTCCCGCAACAAAACAAATCCCACCTCAGTCTTGACAGGCACTACCTTGATAGGCAGTTCCAACCTGCTTTAGATGTACGTTCTACAGAGCTCTGTAGTGGCCTCCTTTCCAGTGGGAACCATGTGTATGCAGGGTTTATTGAGTAACTTTTATGGTGGGGTTCACATATTTTCCTTCCCAAAAGCATATTTGTGTGTGTGTTTTCTGATATCAAGTATACACATTTTTCTGATATCAAGTATACACATGTGCCTCATGCAGGGTCATGTTGCTGAAAGGAAATGTAGTTTTTGTTGCGTCCTCTCCACTCCTTGGGTATGGACACTTGCTAGCAACATGCCAGTCTGAGTTTGATCCTTAAACCCACATGATGGAAGGATAACTAACTCCTGCAAGTTGTCTCTGAGCTCCATGTGTATCTGGCACTCTTGTGAACACACACACACACACACACACACACATACACACTACACTTACATTAAAAATGTAAAAAAATAAGCTCTTAAGTAATAAATAAGAAATTTCATTATACTTCAGTTTATCAGCTGGAGATGCCAATTCCTCTACTGCATCCTAGCTGTTATAAATTCACTGTAAATATCTTTTCAAAATTGGCATTATATTTTATAAAATACTACTATCATCGTACTTGCATTTCTAACCATTAAGTATCCTACAACACCTTATTTGTATTCTATTGTTACTTTATCTTTGCACCTCACATTTTAGCATTTTGTTTCACTGTTGGAAAGAGTGATATAAGGAGAAATTTTTAGGCACATCTTGGTGACTGGCACCAGACAAGGTATCTGCTGAGTTCGGTGAGTTCTGAGTCAGGCCAGGTAGGGACTCCCCAGCTGCTCTTTGTACTTTACGTCTAAGTAAACTAAAGGCTTGAGAGCATATGTGCAGTGTCTTATGTTGTCTTCCCAAACAGAGGATGCTCCAAGCAGCTTTGGAACTTGTGAGGAAGGAAATGGAAGAGGCTCTGATGCAGGAGACCAACGTGGGGAAGAAGACTGTCATTTGGAAGGTGAGGACAGACCAAGGGTGTGAGACATTTTCCCATCATCTTTAACTCTCTCGCACTCTTGATCCAATTCCTGAGTGGCTATCTCTTCCAGAAAGCATCACAGTGCCCTCTTGGGTCAGCCTGCTCCTTTTAAATCCTGTTGATACGACCTGACTTATAAGTAAATAGCTTTGCTTTCTGAATCCTACCATCAAACTCACTGCTATAAGCCAATCACCTCAGTCCACAAACAGATCTGAGATGAGTGACAATCAGTGCTGCACAACATGTATAAAGAGTACAGAGAACAGCAACCATCCCAGAAGGATGCTCAGCCATCTGCAGTCACACACACACACACACACACACACACACACACACACACACACACACACACGCTTTCCTCTTCTGCACCTCACCCAGACTTTTTTCTTTCTTATGCATCTTATTTGCATACCTGTGGACTCAGTGTTTCTCCAAATGAGCACAAGTTGGAGCATGCTGCTGCCACCTACTGGGCAGAGATATAGTAACCAATAAGAAAATACTCCTTGGATCTCTTTAGGAGTTGTAGACTTTAAAGGTGGAAAGCAAGATAATAATCTGAATCTAATGTGCAAGCCAGTGCCTGTGGGACACTTAGCTCTTTCTTGGCTGTGCAGAAAATGTTAACCACCATTAGCATGTCTCAAAGGACATTTAGAGCCAGGGCTCAGGTGCTAAAGTGCTTGTCACACAACTGTGAGGACCTGAATTTGGATCCCCAGCACTCACATCAAAAGTTTGGGGTGGCAGTGCATGCCTGGAACCTTGGTGCTGGGGTTGGGGGTGCAGAGACAGGCGGATTCCTGGGGATTGCTGGCAGCCTAGCTTCAACAGTAAGCACAGGGTTCAGGGAGAAGCCCTGCCATTCAAAATGAGGTGGGGGTGGAGAACAATTGAGGGAGCTACCTAAAGTAAACCTCCAGCCTTTACATATGCACTCAGGTGAACACACACACACACACACACATACACACACACTAAAAAATCTGTTCTTAATCTCAAGCTTTTCACAGTTACAAATCTGGGTTTCTTTAATCTCTTTGTTGTTGTTTCTAGTAGATACGGTGACTGGTAGAATAAATAGTAACTAGTATTGTGTGATGGCTGGACACTGTCCACAGATGAACTGATGGTCACCAACTCCCTCCCACCCCCACAGTTCTCTCCTATTTTACATATGATACTGAAACTTGTATCTGGAAATGCTTGCCTTCAAATCTATGTCTAATTGAGATCCTGGGTCCAGTAGCCTTTCTCTAACTGTTACCGTGTCAGCCTCCCATCCCCCATAGAAATGGTTCTGGCTTCTGCATGCTTTTAGAACACAGCCAACAGTCAGACCAGGGGGAAAGCAGAGATGACTGTGGGCATGTGCCCCCTCCCCCAGCTCCACTGCCCCACACTTCAAAGCAGGAGTCCCCAGTGGCACCTCACAACATCCTCCATGACCCAGCCTGCTGTGTCTCCACAGGAGAAAGTGGAGATGCAGAGACAGCGCTTCAGGTTGGAGTTTGAGAAACACCGGGGCTTTCTGGCCCAGGAGGAACAGCTGCAGCTGAGGCGGCTGGAAGAGGAGGAGCGAGCAACTCTGCAGAGACTACGTGACAGTAGGAACAGGCTGGTCCAACAGAACAAGGTCCTGAAGGAGCTAGCTGAAGAGCTGGAAGAGAGGAGCCAGCAGCCAGCTCTCGGGCTGTTGGAGGTGAGGCAAGCTCTGGGGGTATAGGCAGATGTGAGACTAAGGGACAGAGATGAGATCTTGTCATCTGGATACCAGCACCCAGGCATGCTTGTTCTTAGCAAAATAATGTGGCACTGATGTAGAAGGCATGAGAATCCAGGGGACCCTTAAACAATTGTTTGCAAAAAGTTATATGTTGACTAGATTTCACCTGATTCATGTACATCACACACACACACACACACACACACCTATATATTTCTTTTAACAGAGAAAGTGCCACCATCCTTTCTTATCAATGTATATCAAATAGTCAGCTTTGGTGTGATGGATCAAAGAATCAGACATTTATTATTCCCTTACAAAGGCATTAAGGGTAAGGTGTGTGTGTGTGTGTGTGTGTGTGTGTGTGTGTGTTTACCTCAAATACATCCTTCAGATATTTTGATGCCTTCCCCCCATTCAATCTTCAATAAGTACATGGTGTAGCTCTACCAAAAGATACAATTGGCAGAATTATCAATGCAGCAATAGCTAAACTGATAGATTTTGGATGTAAAGTGTGTACATCATGATTCTATTCCAATTGTGATGGGATGATTTGCCACCAAGCCTCTTGGCTGTTCAAAGTCCAAGACTTTTGGCTGTTTAGAGCCTATTATTCCTGTAAAGAGCAGGGGTTCATTGCTCCTTGAAGTCTCACCTTAGGTGTTAGCAACTTTTAAATATTTCTACTGACATCTTTACTGTGCCTCTGCCTGACTTCAGAAAGAAGTCAGACACCTGACTTATCCCTATGTGTCTTTCTCTTTCCTTTCCAGGGAGTGAGAGGAGTCTTGACCAGGTATGTTTCATTTCTGAATCAGTGTGGGGTGGCTGGTGCAGGGGAGGTAGGCCCCTGGTAACCACACTGACACCTGTGGGTTCTGCATACTTCCAGAAGCAATGCTGTCACACGGCTGGAACCAGAGACTGTCCCCTTGGAGCTGAAGACAGTGTGCCGCATCCCTGGGATGAGGGAGATGCTGAAGAAATTCCAAGGTAGGCATCTGTGTCCTTAGGTTCACCACCTCTGCATTACCAAAAGAGTGACACATAGGAAAAGGTCAGAGGAAGTTAGTTTGGGCCAGAACTTGGGAAAGTAAAACTCCCAATCTCTCTCCATGTTGTCTGTAAAGGTCTCACAATGTGTAGAAAAAAAATAAAAGAATACTAGGGTGTGTGCGAGCACGCCTGCACGCACAGACTCAGCTGTTAGATACATCTTTTCATCTCTGGCATTTGTAGACAGACCCTTGATGCCTAGACCAGGCTCTCAGTGCAGCCGACTCTGTGGATGTCATGTAGTGGTAACAATCAGAGCCCAAAGTCTCAGAGGCAAAAGCCAGCCAAGACTTATTTGAGAGCATGGTATCATGACTGGACTGTGGGACCCAAAGCTTAACCTCTGCCTTGGTGCTTGTCATCAGGGATAAGGCCAAACAAAGAGAAATTATCTTTTTTTCTTCCCCCATCCTCTCAATGACTCTAACGCCTTAGATCACTGAAATGTGTTAGGTCCTTCCCTCCAACAGCTGACCAGTGCCCCAGTGAAATCTAACCCAGTTCCCTTATTGATGAGATCAGTCCAGAGAAAGGATCAGGCTGACAGTCCACCTCAGAGGACTGCCACCTGCCACCAACAAGGAGATTGTGGCCTCCATTTTAAGGTTTTGTTTGTTTTGGTAAGCATACAAAGCAATGGGTTTCTTTATTTTAAAAGTTAGTTCTTCATTTTATTTTCTGTATGAGTTGTTTTGCCTGCACCATGTGTGTACAGTGCCCTTAGAGACCTGACTGGGACATCAGATCTCCTGCAATTGCAGTTGTAGATGGTTATGGGACACAATGTGGGAGCTTGGGAACAAAAGCCCAGATTCCCTGCGCTCTTAACCACTGAGCCATCTTTCTGTCCCCAGTAATGGGTTCTTCATGGCATTTCCATATGGCTCCCTTACCTCCTGTCTGTCTCTGTCTCTCACCCTCCACCACTTTTTTGCTTTCATGCCCTATAGTGGATAGATGACAGATATTTCCCATTACCAATTTCAGAGCTCTAGGCCTTTGGTTAAGGTCTTTGATTTCTTTTGAGTTGATTTTTGTGTCAGCTAGATGATAAAGGTCTCGCCTCACTCTTCTGCATGTGAATATCCAGCCTCCCAGCACCACTTGCTGAAGAGTCTCTTTTTTTTCCAATGCATGATTCTGGCATTTTTGTTGAGATTCATTTGGTTGTAGTTATGTGAGTTTACTCTTCTATTCCACTGCTCTACATGCTGCTGTATAGCACTACACTGTATCAGTGCTACACTGATCTTGTACTATGGCTCTGTGGTATAATTTGAGAGCAGATATTATGATGCTTTCAGCCTTGCTCTTTTTGCTCAGGGCTGCTTGAATTTTCTATGTCCCATGTGCTTCTATGTGAATTCTAGGATTGCTTTTCCTGTTTCTAAGATTTCTATTGGAATTTGGTTGAGAATCATAGTAATCTGCATACTGTTTTAAGTAACGTAAACATTTTCATAATAATAATAATTCTGCCAATCTCTGGGCAGGGAGGTCTTTCCATCTTCTGGTGGTGTCTTTCAATTTCTTCCCTCACTGCTTTAAAGTTTTTTTTGGAGAAGCCCTTCCACTCCTTGGATAGGTTCATTCCTGCAGTTTTGGGAGGAATTTTGTTATTATTTTTTGTTTTATTTTGGCTTTTTAGAAACTACTATGCATGGTATTTTTCTTTCTTTCTCATCAAGGTCACTGTTAATAGATAGAAAAGATACTGATATTGGATGTGAGTTTTATATCCCACTGCTTTGCTGAAGGTGTTTAAAATGTCTAAAGTTTGCTGATGAGGTCCTGAGGGTCTTTTAAATACATGATTGTACCACCTGGAAATAGGAATAACATTATTTATTTCTTCAGATTTGTTCTCTTATTTCTTTATCTTGCCTTATTGCTCTGGCTAAGACTTCAAGCACTACATAGTGAGTGTATTCTTTACTCATCTCTGACTTTAAAGGAAATGCTATGTTTACCTTCTATAACCTTTGTTATGTTGAGGTATCATGAAGGGATATTCAGCATCATGAAAGGTCTTTCCTGTAGCTGTTGAGATGATCATGTGATTTCTATCCTTAGGTCTGTTTAAGTGCTAGTGTCTTAGTTGGGGTTACTGTTGCTGTGATCTGATTTCATGACCAAAAGCAAGTTGGGGAGGAAAGGGTTTATTCAGCTTATGTGTCCATATCACAGTTCACCATCAAAAGAGGTCAGCACAGAAACTCAAGTAGGACAGGAACCTGGAGGCAGCAGCTGATGCAGAGGCTATGGAGGGGTGCTGCTTACAGGCTTGCTCAGCCTGCTTTCTTGTAGAACCCAGAACTGCCATCCTGGGGATGGGCTGGACCCTCCCCCATCAACCACTAATTAAGAAAATGCATCACAACCAGATCTTTTGGAGGCATCTTCTCAATTGAAGTTCCCTCCTTTCAGATAACTCTAGCTTGTGTCAAGTTGACATGAGACCAGCCAGCACAGCTGGGTTGCTTATACTGATTTGTGTATATTGAACCATCTTTTCATAGCTAGAATGAAACCAACATGGCAATGGAATATGGCATTCTTAATGTGTTCTTAAATTTGGTTTGGAAGTGTTTTACTGAAATTTTCTGCATCCATTTTCATTAGGGAAGTTTGCAGTATTCTGTCGTATCCTTCTCTGGGTTTGGTATTAGGGTGATACTGGCTCCATCGAATGAGCTTGGTAGTATCCTTTTCCTTTCTATTTATAGAACTGTTTGGGGAGTACAGATGTTAATTCATCTTTAAATGACTGGTAGGATGGCAGTGTAGTTGATTGGTCCTGGCTCGTATTTCTGATTGATCGGTTGTCACCAGAGTTTCTCAGGACTTCCCTCCTCAGGGTCAGTTAATCCAATTAATTTGTGAGGCCTGCTTATAGAGTACGAGGGAACACCACTTGGCTACTTATTGTGAAGGAGTTACAGAGGATGCAGAGGGACAGGCAGTCAGAAAAGATGAGAAGGGAGCAAGGAGAGGAGGTTCGGCTTCTGCTCCATCCCTACCCCTCCCCACACCGGACTCCTCCTTCCAAGAACCCCTATGGGGTTAGCAGTCTGGAGGCCACACACACTTTTATTTTCCTTTGCACACAAAGCAATGGGTTTAACTGTGTCATTGGGCAATGGAAGCCCCGTGTGTACGGCAGAGTTCTGTGAGACCCAAATCAAGGCTTTTGCCAGGCTCATCTTTCTGGAGTGAGAAACTGAGGGTTCCTTGTGGTGTCTGAGTTTTTACCAGCTGGAACTAAAGCTCAGTGATGCCATGCAAGGTTCTAGAGTCCATCCACAGCATAGCAGAATAAATGGAGGGAGGGAAGGAGAGCGGTAAGGGGGGGCTGGGAGAGGGGAGGGAAGGGTAAGGTTTTACTAGGCCTTTCTGCTCATTCTCATGCTTGGCAAATTCCACAGTGGATGTGAAGCTGGATCCCGCCACTGCCCACCCCAGCCTGCTCTTGACGGCCGACCTGCGCAGTGTGCAGGATGCAGAGGTCTGGAGGGATGTCCCAAGCAACCCAGAGCGCTTTGACACCTGGCCCTGCATCCTGGGCCTGCAGGCCTTCTCCTCCGGGAGACACTACTGGGAAGTCATCGTGGGGGAAAGAGCAGAGTGGGGTCTAGGGGTTTGCCAAGACTCGGTGCAGAGAAAGGGGGAAACGACACCATCTCCAGAGAACGGTGTCTGGGCCATGTGGCTCCTGAGGGGAAGCGAGTACATGGTCCTGGCCTCTCCCTCGGTGCCTGTGCTCCAGGATGAGAGACCTCGCCGCATTGGGCTCTTTCTGGACTACGAAGCAGGAGAACTCTCATTCTACAACATCACAAATGGGTCCTACATCTACACGTTCAGCCATCTTTTCTCCGGCATTCTCAAACCCTACTTTTTCGTCTGTGACACAACTCCTCTTATCTTGCCACCCATGACAGAAGCAGGGTCTGGAAACTGGACCCCCAGGGGTCTCCTTGATCTGGCTGCTGCTGTTAGAAGCGAGGAATACTAAAACAATCCAGAAGTGCTGTGCTTCACAGGGGTCCTGGATGAATGGGGAGCAGGACTGTGCCCTGTTTCAACGAACCCCAGCAACACCAGCCCCGCAGGCCTGTTCTGTGGAAATTCTCCCGCGGGGACTATGGAGTGGATCCAGAGTGGTTCACATGCTGAGGAACTATGTGAAGTGAGTGGCTTTGAAAGGACATCAGGCTCGTCAAACCGTGTTGCCAGAGGTCTGGTTTTTCCTTGGCGCATGTTCACAGTAGTAGTAAGTTAGAATTAAATGAGATTGCCCGTTCGTTCATCCTCAACAGTCCATATAGCGGGACTTAGGAATATCAATTCTACTCGCTTCAGTTTGCTTTATTTTTGAGACACAGTCTTCCTGTACAGTCAAGGCTGTCCCCAAACTCTTGCCTCAGTGTCCTGGGCGCAGGTGTACACCACAGTGGTTGGCTGAGAAATGAGATTGCTTAAAAAAATAACTGGATATTATTCTAGTGAAACCCATAACTCTGAACCTTTTTTAAATTTTCCTTTCTTGATTTCATTCTCCCTCTTTTGCTTTATGTCTCATCCTGCTTAGTCGTACAGTTCCTTCTAGATTAATATATCCAGAATCATTCCTTTATAAGTTTGTATTTCCTAGTACTATGGTCGATTACTTTCTATTTCATTTTCTGTTATCTATCTATCTATCTATCTATCTATCTATCTATCTATCTATCTATCTTTGGTCTTTTGAGACAGGGTTTCTCTATGTAACTGCTCTGGCTGCCCTGGAATTTGCTTTGTAGACCAGGCTGGCCTTGAACTCACAGAGATCTGCCTGCCTTTGCCTCTCAAGTGCTGGAATTAAAGGCATGCACCACCACTGCTCTTCCTTTTCTGTTTTTAAGAAAAGATTTTATTTTTATATGTATATATGTGTA